CTGACCCTGACTCACAGGATGTGACTCAGACTAGGAGTTGAATGATTGAATCTCAGAGCTGTTTTCTTGTACTAATAGAGGCCCATTGCTTTTATAACTGCGGAGATGGGAAGGCAAAGCGAACAGGAAGAAAGAAGCGGGTGATGGGGAGGAGATTTGGGCGTGGGGATGCTCATTCCATCAACACCGCTGTCTGCTGTTTCTGTGGGGACAGGCGACCCCTGAGCTCCTGTCATCCCAGCTATCTCGGAGCCTGGGGCTCCCAGAACTGTTTTGGGGAACCCGGGCTGGCCTGGGCTGGTCAGAAGCCCTGGACTCCCCCAAGATCCGCATAGTTCCTCTGAATCCTTGAACAGCCTCAAACATCTGCAGTTCCCTGGGTACTGCCGCTTACTCATAGGGAGAGACGTGGGTTTTCATTTTGATCATTTGTTTATCTGCCCTTTGGAAGAAGAGGGAGAGAAAGAGGAAGGAGTGGAAAATTTCTGCTGGGAAATTGATGGGGCGCTGGATTTATCACTCTACTGAAAACCTGGGCATACACGATAAAAGCAAGGGTGTGAGATTCAGATCCTCCCACAAGAAGGTGAAACACAGCCAACTCTGAAGCCACTGGAAAGCTAGGAAATTCCTCACAAAAGCCAAATCTCCATTCTTTTTCTGGATACTCATTCTTTTCTGCTTAAAAAAGTTCTAACTTAAATGGAGTGGGAACAGGTAATAAATGAGATCCCTTAAGCTACAGTGTTATTCATTCTTTTCTTTTCCTCGAGTTTTCCTTGTCTCATTCACTAATGCATTTAATCAACATTTGCATAATAGATTTGCATATATACATTGTATAATGTACATATTACCATATATGGTTATATATTATAGAACTTGACTGGGCTTGTCCTTGGTTCTTGGGAGGTAGCCTTTATGTCTTTAGGATTTTATTTTATTTTTATTTTATTTTATTTTCCATTACTGGGGGTTGAACCTAGGACTTTGGCTTTGAGCTGTATTCTCAGTTCTTTTTTATTTTTGCTATAAGACAGGGTCTTGCTAAGTCACTAAATTGCTTAAACTTGTGATCCACCTGTTATCCTCCTATAGTGCTGAAGTTACAGGTGTGTATTGCCATGTCCACTTTCTTTTATTTTAAATATATTTCTATTAATGCCTATTAATTTTACAAAATATTAGCTTCCAACATGGTGTTATCATGGATTCATATATCATATTTTGATATGATTCCCCCACTGTCCTGCCTTACACTCCTTTCCCCACTCTTATTTTCTTCCTCTTATCCAAGAATAGTCTCCCTTCTGTTTTCCTGCCATCTTTTAGTCCTTGGGATTTCCTGAATGGTGAAGATATGCAAGTGAGATACCTCGGAGTAAGAGATGTTCAAAGAGCCTGCAGAAAGCCTTGCCTTGCCAAAAACATCAACTACATGGTGAAGGGCTGGGGCTTTGTGTCAAGGCTCATCAGCCCCATCTCCAGGGCAGAGGGGACCTGGAGACTGAGTTAACCAGGAAACCAAAGATCCTTTCAGTCACTCCCACAGGATGACATGCTGAGGAATACTCTGGGTGCTGAAGATCGCTGGGAGGCAGCTGTCTGGGTGGAGGGTTACACTGATGGACTTATCACATGAGGATAGGGACGCATCCTCATTCCATGGGCAGGCATGCCAGGACCTTCCCTGGCATGAGACCCGCCCAGGAAGCAGAGATGAGCTGCTTCCTGCTCATCTCTCCTTTTGGCTCCTTCTGGTCTGTGTCTTTTGCTATAATAATCTAGAGTTGTGAGGACAGTGCTTTGCTGAGTTCTGTAAGTTCTTCTGACACAACTGGAGCAGAAGTGGACATTTGCAGCCTGGTGTTCAGAGGTGTGGGCAGCCCGGGAACTCCGAGGTCAGGGTTCTGAAGCAGGGGCCATCTCATGGAGTGCTGTGATGTCAGGGTGGCTGTAAATTTCCTGTGACACTGCTGCCCTGTAAAACTCCAGGGAGCCAGGGACAGCCAGCTCCATGTGCAGGGACACCAGGTCTCTGGGATCCGTGCTCCTTCCTTCAAGCAGCCTGCCACCCCCTGCCCTCCCCACTTGAGCAGTCCTGCTCTGCTTTCTGATATCTGCTGCTATTCGAGTCTCCTGGTCAGCACCCCCCTGCATCACCACCCCCGTCCTCCTCAGTGGCTCTTTCCGTCTCCCTAGTGGTCACTCTGCTCAGGAGGACCGCCATCCTCTAAGACTCACTGCAATGTGAACTCTCCCTGTGGCAAGGATCCTCAGGCTCCTTGGGTTGGAGCCCACCTGGCCCCTACTCTGCACCACATGCTTCTCTTGCACCCCATCTTCCTTGGCCTCATCCTTGTCTTTGGTCATTGAGCCTGGAGTCTGGGCTCCATGTTCTCCACTCTGACTTGGACCTTGCATTTCTTTAGAACACTGCTCCTAGAATCTTTCTGCAGGCTCTCCAGACAATGTCCACGAGCAAGAGGGGCTCTGACTTGTGCACCAACAATATCATCACCCAGCCAGGCCTGTGTCTGCCTGGCCTGCCCAGCTATGGACCTATCACAGCTCACAGAGAGCAGCCCGCAGCCATCAGAGCCCCAGTGCAGCTTCAGTGTCTCCCATCAGCCTTCAGGCCCTCAAGTGGGGTCCACACATTGGGGTCCACCAGAGACCAAGGTGACATCCTCCACTGCCACTCTGCAATCCCAGACTGTTCTGACAGTACCAACGAGGCCACACCCAGCAAGACAGCATTCTCCTGCAAAGGCCAAAGCTTACATGGCACAAATCCATGGCCATTTACCAGGTTTCAGGTTAGCATCTCCAGCCCAGACTGTTAGAGAGCTCAGACAATTATTATATGCATTTGATTAGTATGCAAATTAGCCTTGGATTTTCAGCCTTTTACAAGGGCAACAGAATACGCTGGACATGGTACATAGATAGGTATCGGGATAGACAGATGATGCAATAGACCGCCAGTCTCCAGGTGCCACCGCCTTCCTAGATCCTCAAATACAGCTGTTAGCACACAATTCCTGGCCCGAGACTTCCTTTAGCAGATAAAGGATTCATTGGCACACAGCCTTGCCCATTCACTCGCAGTGTGTATGGTCAGTTGTCACCACAGAGGCAGAGTTGAACAGTTGTGAAAAAGACCACATGGCTTTGTAAAGGCTAAACACTGACAATCTCAAGGTTTGCAGATGTTTGCTGACCCCAGCTTTAGAATTCCAGGTGTCAGAGCTGAAGCCCTGGGTTTTTTTAAGGCAGCATATGGATGGCAGGTGAATGGCCCACTTGGCTTGCGTTCTTCCCCTTGATGTCCTGCAGTCCTTCTTGGCCTTAGTTGCCCATACGAATGCTGGGCTTGTGGAGCCCAGCAATGGCGATCAATAATACAGGTGCAAAGGGCACAGGCTGGACTAGGACGGGTTGGGGTCTGAATTCTGGCACTGCCTTCTGCTAGTCACGTGGTCTTGGGCAACTTGCTTAAACTAAACGCTGCTCCTCTTCCACCCCTCAAGGAGGTGGGGGAGCGTCAACAGGTCACCAATTTCCCTCCGCTCACAAAGGCATGTGTTGAAGCTCGAGGCTCTGGTTCTGCCCCATGCACCTCATGACCCTGCCATGGGGCCTGTAGATTAACATCCTGCTCCTCAGGTCTGAGGATCTCTTCCCACACCACCCTGCTCCCCACTTCTTCTGCCACCCCAGCTCCCCTTTCTCCTTGGACACTGGCACGGGACACCTCTACTGTTCCCGGCAGGGTGCTACCTCAACACAGTCCAGCTTCCCCTGCACTCAGCTCCCTGCCTTTCCCTCTGCCCCTATGGAAACCTTACCTGTCCTTTGCCCTGGAGGCCACCTCCTCCAGGCTGCCTTCCCTGGTCCCTGCATGAACATGTGACAGGCCATCAGAAAATGCGGGTTGAACCCGTGGACAGGGAAGGAATGAGCTGCTGATTCCTCCCACTCCCAAGGCGCTCGCGCTATCCAGGAAGAAACTTCAGGGGTTGCCCCACACACCATGAAGGCAAAGCCCTGTCCTCTAGCCTGAATGGCCTGCTAGCTTCCAAGACAAAGTAGCACCCAAATTCCCACCTCTCCTTTGGAGAGGTCAGGCCAAGTAAGATGCCATCTCAGGGTGACATTATGATGACAAAATCAAGCACCCCTGATGGCTGCAGATGCCTGGTGAAGCCACCTCAGCCTGCTAGCTTTCAATTTTTAGCATCAGAATGAATTTTTCAAATAAATCTACACAAATGTCAGAGTTAATAGAATTTCTAAAAACCCAGATTAGTCCTGGCACAAGCCGAGCCCTCTTCCACCTCTCTAAAGGTGGCACCTCTCCAAAATCCCAGGGCTCTTGGGAACTCTGAAGCACTGTAGACCTTCGGTCCAGTGGCTTGGCATCAGGGATGCAGAGCCCCAAGGCAGAAAAGGCCCTAGGTGCTCCCAGAACCTCCCTGCCTTCCCCAGGGTCTCTCCAACATCCCTGCCAGGCCTTGGCCTCCAAGGTGGGCCCAGCAAGCAGCCCCTTCCCAGGGTGGCACCCTTTACACCTCCATCCTGCCCAGGAGGCCAGCAGCCTGGGAGCTAGCACCCTTGCCTATGTGGCAGGGGGGTAAGGAGGCCTTGGAGAATTGCACCAGGCATGGATCTCAGACTGAAATAGGGGCCAGGGCTGGGTCTTAGCCAGCAGGCACAGGAGTTGCCTCTGGTCATGATTACGGGTCAGCAAAACAAATGAGCCCCCCAAGACCCACAGCACTTCCAGGCAGGAGCCCTCTGTCCTTTTCCCTGGTGTTAGCACCCCTTAGGACCCCTCTTTGGGCCTTAAGAACCCTGTTGGGCCACCCATGCTCACCCCAGGATACCCACACTCCAGCCTGGCTTGCCCTGCCCTCTGTTGTCCAGCACAGGGTCTGGGTGCCCTGACCACCCACAATCCCCAAGAATCCGTATGACGCAGGCACGGGGTCACTCACCAGGGTGGGGGCGTTCACCACGGAAAGGTTGTATCCATACAGGAAGGAGGAGCCAAAGGCGCCCACCAGCGAAGCTGCCAGTAGTGAGCAGGACCAAGCCTGGGGAGGGAGAGGAGAGACATCAGAGCCAGCCTGGCAGCACCAGGAGCTGGGGAGAGGAAGCTTGACCATGCCCTTGGGAGATGGAGAAAAGGCGCTGCCTTGGGGTATGCAGGTAGAATTTTCATCCAAGTCCTCAGCTTCTGGCCAGGCTACAGGAGGGTCCCCGATCAGGCCTGCTGTGCGGGGGGTGTGGGTGGGGCTGTGTGTGCTGGCACATGGGACTTTAGATCACAGCACCACCAGGTTTTCTGTACATCCTCTCTTCCATCTCTGGAACTGAACGTGCTCATCCTGGCCCCCAGGGAAGAAAGGGGACACAGCTGACTTTCCTGCCGCCCAGGCTGCGGTCTGCAGCCCAGGTGGTCACAGCTGCCCAATGCCATATCCCCCTCCCCCTAGCCTCTGCTCAGCTGCGTGCCAATGAGGAGCCTGATACTGCCCACTGAGACACAGAAATGCACATGCCACATGTACACGCATAAGTCTGCATACACCTATGTGAGCTCACACTCCCGCATGACCGCACACACATTCTTCCTGGCTGAGATATCATGTGTTGGCTGGGCCAAGTTCCTTGGAAGAAGACACCTGCAGGCAGACCCAGCCTGATCTGAGAATAACACCTGTGCCCCACCCAAGGGTGCCACAACCAGCACAGAGCAGAAACAACCTGGCTGCACACCCACACTGCTGCTGGCCCGTTGGCACAAGCAGGCTGCAGAAGGGGCTGACATTCTAGACTGGTCGGGCACATGATCCTGGTGGAGGGGACCAGGCACCCCAGATGGCCAGGATCGGTCATCCACTGCCTGGAAGGTGATGCTGGTAGGGGTCTCTGGTAGTCATTTATTTGTCTGCCCTCCTCCTTCAGCTGGGCTCCAGGGATCCACCCCCGGCTGTGGGACCTGAGCAAATGACCTGACCTTGCGGAGCTGAGGGGCCTTTCTAAGGGCACCACTGCCTCTGCTGCTGAGGAGGCCACAGCTGCTAGACGTCGCCAGTGTAAGGACAGCATTTTTCCTCCCTCTCTTCACTCCTTCAGATCCCACTGTACCCAGGCAGACATGCCAAGGCCTCTCTGCCCATCCCCCCAAAGTGACCCCTTCAGGCTTTCTCATATCCGAGACCCACTGTCAACATCTGCCCCTCATTTTTACATTTGTCTCTTAGACTCTACTTTGACCCGCCCTGCTCCATGACTTAGGACTGTGGAAACTTGAGCTGGTTATGGGGTTGCTCTGTGACAGTTTCCTGAGAGCATTATGCCCCAGAGGGAGTTAAAGGATGTCGGGCATCAGAAGGCAGCCTGGCACAGGGTGGGGTGACTCCGAGAGACAGCAGTAAAGCTGCACAGGGTGAGGGGTTTCCTGAAGGCCAGGTGTGCTTCTCCCTCTTCCTTTTTGGACACCGAGCCTGGTGATGGGATGCAGGACCCAGAGAGGGCTCATGGCTGGGGCACAGCATTGCCAGGTGAAATGGGCCTGGAAAGCCCCCTGCAGTATGGGGAGCTTGCGCAGATCAGGATTCATTAATGGAACTGAGCCAGGCAAACACTGTCTCTGGCGCTGTTTAATGTTCTCTTCTGGTCCCAGCTCACAGGGCACCTCCTCTAAGCCACTGGGCAGCAGTGGCTTGGCCCCACCCCACTCTGGCTCCCTGCCCTGATCACCCTGGAAGCTGCCACTGGGCTGGGAGCTCCTTACCCTGTGCCCAGGGCCTGCTGAGGCTGGAGAAGGGCCAGTGGGCACCGTCTGCTGCCTCAGCCGCTCTCCCCTGCATGCTCACCACCTCCCCCCACTGTCCTCCCCACCCTTGCCACTGAGAAAGGGTGGCTGTCACTGCCTGTGCTGAGATCACCCTGACAGAGCAGGAGTACAGATGTTCTCTGCTCTGGCTTTGTCCCCTGTCTGCAGCTCGCTGCCAGAATGCAGTTAGCCCAGTGGGAAGAGGCACAGGAACCAGGGCCCCATGCCAGTGTCACACAGACAGTGATATGTGACTTAAACACAGGGCTTTCTGACTCAAAGCCAGAGACCCTTCAAGCCACAGAGCTGTCTATGGAGGCTGTCCCTTGGCAGCCACGGCACATAGAGAGACCCCTCCCTGCCCCCCAGCACAGAGGCCACTGACTGATTACCTTTCTCCTCCTCCCACCGGGCACCCCAGGGCTCCTCCCAGGGCTGTGACATTCAGATGGCTCCCTTCCAGGTCCCGGAGGCCCAGGGTAGCTGGTGTCAGATGTCAGGAGAGCAGAGCTCAGGTCCTTGGAATCCATGCTTGGTTCTTCCCTGCTGCCTTGGGTGGCCGGGCAAGGACCCTGGACTCTGCCTGGACATCCCCAGGAAAGAGAAGCACGCTCCTTGGGTAAGGGGCGGGAGTGCTCACGCAGGAAGTGTGGCAATTTGTTCTTGTCTGAACAGGAAACACACAGCGTTTTCTTCCCTGCCCCAGGCTGGTCTGCACAGTAACAGGAGAGTCTTAAAGCCTGCGAGTTAGACCCAAGGTATGAACTTGCTTCTCTGCAGTTTTCTCATTTTTCTTTTGTGGGAAGGCTGGCGTTCTTTCTGGAGGCGTAACCCAGGGCAGCCTTCCACTAACTGGGAGGAAGGGAGGGGGTGCTGGCTTTGCCTCCTAGCCTGGGTGGGATGACGCCTCCATTTTTTAACTATGTGTCCTCAGGCTGGTCACGTGGCTTCTCTGAGCTTCTATTTGACCAGTCCCAAATAGAATATCATCTCATCCTGCAGAGTTACTCTGAGGCTCAGATAGGAGACACTCAGCAGCACAGCAGAAACGTCCATGTGGCCCAGCTCCATGCACAAAGGCTGCAGGTTTGGAAGAAAAGCAGTCACCTCTTGGTTATGCCCATGTCCTGTTTCTGCAGTGCTGACCAAAGAAAACCTTCTCTGTACTGGCCCAGGGTGGCTCAGGATCTCATGTACACCCTGACACAGCAGAATTAAGTCACTGTGTGGCCAATATGCCCTGAATGTGGGAGAAGGTGCTTTGGTCACAGCCTGGACAGAGGCTGCATCTGCTGTCCACTCCCAGAGCCTGGATGGGGACAGAGGTGTGCTCTGTCCATGTGGAAGGTTTAGGAGGCGAGGCCAGGGCTCAAGTTCACTGCCAGGAGATGGAGCAGCCATCAAACTGGGACCAAGGGAAAATGCACACTGAAACAGAATGCAGAGGACACATGTGTGCTGGAGCTCGGGGGTTGCAAAGGTGAAGAGTCCCCAGGGTCCATCCTGTGCTGCACAGCAGAGGGGCTTCCAACAAGAAAGCCCGCTTCCAAGGTCAGGCCAGGTGTGGACAGAGCCCTCGAACTTTCCAACTCATCAGTGGCGAGTGACTGTGAGGGCTGCTGACTCTGAACTGCACTTGTATCGTTTGGGAGACGTGGTGGCATTCATCTGGGGAAGTGGTGTTTACCTGACACCTTGGTAACTCTTCCTTTCCCTTCCCCTTTGCCCTCTGCTCTCCCTCCTTCCTGTTAAATCCCCTTCCAATCATCACAGTCTGCTTCCTCTTTCCTATCCTCTGTCTTTTATTTAGCTCTGTAAGTTATTTATATTACGGGTTTCTCATATTAGACAAACGGAGCAGTGTTTAACCTTCCGCGTCTGATTTGTTTCACTCATTATTGTGGTTCCAAGATCCATCCACTGGCCTGCAGGTGATGGAAATTTTTCATCTTTGTGGCTGAGTAGTACCACATTTTCCTTATCTGTTCATCCACTGATGGATTTGGGTTGCTTCCAAGATTTGGCTGTTGTGAGCTGTGCTTCTATAAACAGGGGTGTGTGTGTCACTCTAATAGGATGACCCTAACTCTTTGAAGAACGTATCCAGGAGAGGTATAGCTGGATAAAATGGAATTTCTAGTTTCAGTGGTTGTAGAAATCTCCATACTGATTTGCACACTGGTTTACATCCCCACCCAAAGGGAGGAAGCGATCCCTTTTCCCAGCATCCTCAATTTGGCTGCCTCCATCCTGAGCTGCTCCTCCTGGGAAACACTCAGCCACAATGGAACTACCCAGGCAGGGCTTCTCTGGGATGGCATGGAAGAGGCATGGTGCCAAGCTCACCAGAAAAGGAGGCTCAGAGGGTGCTGACAGGAGGGTGAGTGAGCCCAGGGAGGTGTGAGTGGGGCCGGGGCCTGTGTGTACCCAGGGCTGGTGCATGTGGAAAGCAAAATGCTGGCGCATGGTTGAGGCCCGAGGAATGGTGGGGACAGTCACATCCCAACGCCATACGACGGGGACTTGGGACTTGGTTTCATCTGCTTGCCCTAATGCCATGCTTCCTCCTTCTCCCTGCTTTCCTTGTCTGTAGTACCAGGACCCACCAATCTCACTAAGACTTAGAGTAGACCCGCTGACCCCCAAATTAAAAGGGGATCTGTGGTTCCTTCTGGATTGAAATCTCAAAAGGTGCCAGGACCCAGGTGGTCAGCACAAATGGTGTAACGGAAGAGGGAAGATGGCAAATCTCTCTGGGAACCCCATGACAGCTACCCAGGGTCCCCACAGCCAGAGGCACCTGCCTCCCCTCTCTCATCTCCCATACCTGCAGTGCTGTCTATCCACGTTCTCATCCGGGTCCTCTGTGCTCCTGTCAGCCCTCAGGGCTAAGTTACGGGAAGAGCTAAAGTTCAGAACTGAGGCAAAGCATGTTGCCTGCAAGTGTCACTCCAGGGGGCCCAGGTCTGTGCTCTCAGGCAGACCCGAGAGTCCTAACTCCAGTTACAGAGTCTGATCACGGTCACGGAACAAACGTCTGAGGCACGTGCCAACACTCTAACACTCAGCCTTATCCGCACATCTGCTTACCCATATATTCCAAGCTCCCACGCTTTCGGGTTCACCTGGGTCTGCCCTCAAACTGTCCCTGACTCGCTGGTCCTTCAAGGCTTGGCTCCTTGACCCCTCTCTGGATGCGACCCTGGACCTCTCACTGCTCTGTTTCTATGTCCCATGCACCCTGGTACTCGTGTGTGCCTCTTGGAGGGACAGCAGCTCCCGGAAGGCTGAGACTAGGTACACCTCATTGGGCTGAATTGGGTCCCCAGATTCATATGTCACAGTCCTAACCCCCAGCACCCCAGAATATGACGGTGTTTGGAGACAGGGTCTTGAAACAAGTAATTAAGGTAAAATGATCATTAGTTGGGTCCTCATCCAAGGTGAACAATGTCATGACAAGATGATCACAGTCAGATACAGGGAGAAGATGCCATCTGCAAACTAAGGAGAGAGGCTCTAGGGAAACTGAGGCTGGATGGAAGAAATAACACTAGGTAGAAAGGAGACCAGGTGTAAGGCTCTGTTAGGATATGGCTCTCCCAGTACCCAATCTGTCTGCCAGCAGAGGGTTCTTAGCTCTACAGCAGTGCCCTCAGTAAACACAGAGGGTCTTGAGAGAGCTAAGAGGCAGCAGGGGCTCTTGCGAACACCTGGGCATTTAAAGATACCCAAGGGTTGCTCACACTGGATGCCCCCAGGGCTTTGCATTCAGAGAACTTTGGCCACTCTGAGGTTTACTAAGCTATTCCTGCCTAACATCCTTTTCCTTTTTTTCAAGCCCTATAAAAATTCTCCTAGCTCCGTACAGACAGCCTTTTTACCCTCTGCACCTGGGCACAACACAGTCCCTGCCATCTGCCTTTACACAAGGTGGCCTCTGCCTCCCACTGTTCCTTATATCTGGAGGCAAAACCCAGGAGGGAGGCTGGCTCTCTCACAAGGGCTTTAAACTCTCTTGAACCCAGCTGAGACCACCCACCCGGCAGGCAGCATCTTCAGACCTCAGTCCTGCAGCTCCTGCACTTCTGTCCTGCCGGGGAGTTCAGATTGGCTAGGCCTCCCCATCTCTCTCTCCCTCTTTCTTCCTCTCTGCCTGCCTTTTGCTGTCCCCCATAAAGTCAGAGAGAGGCTTGCCCTGCTTTTCATGATTTTAAAACCCCAGCATTGGTCTGGAAAAGCACTCCTTGGAAGGCTGCTTTTGCCTCTGACCAACTGCAAAGGCATCTGCCTGGCTCCATTGATCACGTTTATAGCATTGGGTCCTGGCTGGAGACTGTCCTACCCTGCTCTCAGCTCTCCCATTCAAACCAAATCGTTCGTCTTCCATCCCTGCCAGCCTGCCTGCTGCAGAATCCCACACTCCTCCACCTCTGTCCCAATCTGGAGCCCAAGGGGCTGATATTTCATGGCATGTCCATGTTTCCTGCTGGACAATGGCTCTCGGTGACCAGAGTGTGATACTTTTGATTCTTTTCATTTTAAAAAATAACAAATAATTAACAGGAGATAGGAGTTTGCTTTTAATTCTTGATTACTGAATTATACTAGGTAATTGTAATTGTCATTCTTGTTTGCCATGTTTGTGCCTTTCGTAGATCACTTTATTATGATGTTTCCGTAAAGGGAGGTTTTACGCTTGTGGACAAGATCTTGTATTCCTGTTTGACACATGCTACATTTAGACCTGCCTGAACTGTTTGACTTGTGACTAATGTGGTTTTTAATCTTATTTTAGATAGCTAAGGAGAACTAATATTAAAGCACCATCTAGTGGATGTCAATAAAATTCTGAAAAATGGGTCTTTAATGAAATTTCACTTACATTCAGCGGGGCTTTTATCTCTCCCTTAGTGAACCCTGAAACCAAACCGCGTTACTCTGCCAGCTAGTAATTACCTTTGGAGCAGCTGCCACTCTCAAAGCAGAGGTTGGATTTCTCCAGTACCCTTGAGGAGACCCCACGGACATTAGTGGCCAGTGGAATGCTGACCAGGTGGGCAACTGGACTCTTTTCAGGAGACAGAGTTCTGGTTGTGCAGAACTACTGAAAAGTGAAGGAACAACTGAAGGGTCTTGGCTGGGGCAGCTGCCCAGAGCAGTCCTGGCTGGGACAACGCCCCAGAGGCTACCCAAAGGCCCCTCAGCGTGGACTGCCCAGAATGGGAATCAGCAGACAATGTGTGCTCATCTGCAGTTCCACCACACTCCCCAAGGCAGATGAAAGGCAGCTCCCTCTGTGATCATCAGGTATCCTCTGCCTCAGAGACCTGAATCGATGCCGTCAGAGCTCTTGCTTAAGCCAGTTCCTTCAAGGGTAGAGCCACAGGCTTGGACAAAAGCGATTCTCACTACCAGTAAGTTAGACGTTTTCTCCTCCTTCTCCTTCCGTCTGCACCCACTCCACTTCCCTCCCACGATTCCTCCCTGACATTTCCCTCTCTGACTGCTTCCTGCCACCATCTTTGAGCGGCTTGAGACCTGGGTGCCAGCTTTCCACCCCGTGTGCCAGTGCCAGGCTGGAGGTCCCCTGCCCAGCATACCCAGCCTGCCCTGTCCAAAACCCGGGCAACACGGCACAGCAGACGCATGCGCTGCTGTAGAGATCAAGATCCAGCCTGGGTCGTACACGCAGCAGGGCCACAGCGCCTCCGCACAAAAGGCCCCCTCTGCGCTCACCCCAGAGCTCAGCCTAGGTAAATAAAAAATTTCAAGCTTGCGGGGCGGGTCCTATCACTTTGTCCCAGGCCATGGCCTGGGACACCTCCTTTCCCCTCCTGGCTGCCACCACCCTGTGGCTGCCTGACTCCACCTGCGGACAGATCCACTCCAGCCCCACCCCACCCAGGGCCACCTTCTGAAGGCCCACTGCTATCCATGGCACTGCAGGCCCAGCCACGAGGCTCAGACCTCCCTGCCTGCTGCTTCTCTAAGCTTTGGTGGTACATTTTCCCAGCTCCCACACTGCTCTGCCTCACACCCGGTCCAGACTTCTTACTCCTGTCCTCCCATTCCTCCTTCTCTCCCAGGTCAGCCAGCGCCTGAGCACTTTCTCTTCGGACTCTAAAACCCTGGGTTCTCTCTAATTCCCCTGAAGTTAACTTTAAACGCTTTGATAGGCACTTTCCTCTCAGAGGCTAAATTACAAAGTTTATAACAACCATCTGCCTTTAAGAGGGATCAACAGCTACTGCAAAACAACTGACACTTGCGCTTACATCTGCTAAATAAGACTGATAGACCGGATCTTCTCTTCTGGGTGTTCAACAACTAAAGTTTTGAGGCCAAAGCTAGAGAGATCACTGGACTAAGAGGATGGCATTTTAGTCCTGAGCCATCAAGGTCAGCAGAGACCCCAGGACATGAAAAGAATCCCTTTTCTACAGGATCCTGCGACTCTGGTGAGCTTCTCAATCTCCTGAGCAGGGAGGTTGATGGCCCCCAGGAGACAGAGGTAACAAAGATGTGCCCTGTGCCTAAGGAGGGTCACCAGCATGAAAGGTCTGTCCAGCATGACCATGACCCACCCTGGCAGCTGACTGACAGCTGAGAGCCTCTGCGCATGGTCCTAAGAGTAAGTAATGCCTTAACCAGGCTTACGTGACCTTGATAGACAGTGAGAGGTCAGTTTTAATTAACACAGATCTCACTTTGACTTGGTCTTAAATACCCAGCAGAAAAGTAAAATCAAAAGAAATAGATATGCTTTTATCATCTGTCTATGCAATTATTCCCTGTAAAAGACACGTTGACCAGCCTCTTCCTTCTCTAAATTAAAAAAAAAAAATTAAAATACCAGCTGTCCTCCAAAATCAGATGACATTAGACATTCTAACATGAGCACAAGCAGGTACTTTTTTGTACCCTTATAAAATCTGAGTGCTGTGTATACATTCCTGATCCTTCTAATTTCTATATGGCTATTCAAGATATTAGGTGACAAGTAGGACCATTTCAGAATCTAAAATTCCCTAGACCTTCTCATTAGCCTCCTTATAAAAGGTAATTGCTGGATCTTCCTAGTAAAACATTTGGTGGTTATAATCATAATAGTCATATGATTTTATTGTTCAAGCCATAAATACTTGTTTCTTTGGCCTTGTCTATACCACAACTGTGGCCAGAGATGCATCATTTAAAAGCCAGGCTTAAAGGTTAAGAGATAACCAACAAAAATCAGGTCTACAGACTCTGAAAGGGGTGAGATAAATGATAACACCTGGTCTAATAAAGTCTAGATAGACATCAGTCACCTCAGTAGACAACCAAGACCCCAGACCCACCTGGAAAAGGCTTGGAAAAAGACCCACCTGGAAAATTGGTCTTTCTGTGTCCACTCACTCACTGTATGATTTACTTCCCATTAGATCAGTGTTAAACAAAGAACTCATGGGATCCCTTCAGCGAGTTAAACCTTTCTCTTTTTTCCTCTTCCAGCCTTGACCAAAGGCTTTCCCCAGAGCTAAACCCAAGGGTCTGAATGGTTCCTCCCCTTCCCTGGTTCTCAGTCAAGCACCTTTCTCTATCTCATGAAAGCCAGATCACCCTGGTGACAATCAGACTGTGAGGGGACTAAAGCCAATTGTTTCTTGCGGACTCCAATGTGGTCTCCTGGTCCCTGTCATCTCTCCATATAGCACTCCCATTCTGCCTCTTCAAAAGACAAATGGCACCCATGGATTGGTGCAGGACTGTTGTGCTATTAACCAGATAATCCTTCCCATCCACCTTATCATGCCAAACTGATTCGCTCTTTTATCTTCTGTCGCTTCATCCACTACCCATGACTCAGGCATGGATTTGAAAGATTCCTTCTTTACTACTCCCTTAAACTACTCCTCACAACCTCCCTTCGCCTCTACTTCAGTCAGGCCCTTGCCCTTGACTTGCTCTCTTTCTGCCCATGTCTCCCACCTCATATAATACATAGATAATTCCCTTCTCTACAGCCCCTCTCATAGATCGTCCAGGTGGGCTCATGGCTGCTTCCCTCAGCAGGGTGATTAGACTGTTTAATTCTCCTTCTTATTCAGGCCCTGTCTTTTCAGACTCCTGTCACAGTTCTTTCAAGACCTAATCAAACAATCTCTCATCAGTGATATACAATGGTTCCCCAGTGTTTTCCTTCCCATGAGGCTGCCCACTCAGCCCGTGTGCTGTGCAGGAAGCAGCCATGAGAAATAACACCCATCTCCCTTCTCTGCTGGTTTTTCCTTTTTGTTTATAATAACCAAAGGATGGAAATTGAAGGCTAGATTTGGACCTGACTCTCCCAGTATGCAACCTGTCTCCCCGCAGAGGCATTGTTCTCAGCTCATCTCTGGTGCCCTCAGCAAGCAAGCACAGAGTGCCTTAAAAGAGAGAAATTGAACACAGAATCTTGCAAGCACCTGGACATCTAAAGACACCCAAGCATTCACACTGGACATCTCAAGGTCTTTGCCCACTGAGGAACAAAACATCCAGAGAACTTTGACCACTCTGAGGTTTACTAAGATCTTCCCACCTAATTGTTACAGCTGAGTTAGTTAGAAATATTACAGGCAGTCACACAGGGCTGGACCCTGGAAGGAACCAGGGCAGAAGACCAAATACCTTAAAACTGTGGGGAAAACAGACACCTCTGCTGAGGGCCAAATGTACCCACCTACTTCCTAAGGATAAATGTCAGGGTTTGATATTCTAAATAGGTTTCTATCACCCTGAGGAAGCCTGGAGGAGCCACTAATCCAACTCCCTACAAAGTCACTGCTTTACAGTAATGTCCACTTGCTAAGTGACTCAATTCCCCATTTGTCCCAGATTTAATCAGTTTTATGCAATTACACTCATAATCTTGTTGGTTGACCATAGTTCTGTCCCACTCCATGTCCACCTTGCAATTTCCCATTTTTCCCTACCTTGGACCCACCTCACTTCATGGTTCTACTCTGTAAAAATCTCTAAAAAAGACAAGAGTGGCAACCCACTTGGGACCCGTTCAGTCTCTCGCAGACAGAACCTTTCTTTCTCTCAATAAATATATTCTGCTCTTAACCTCTGCTGTTTCTAAAATTCATTCTTTGATTTTAAAGAACACAAACTTGTACCAGACATCTAGTAGGTTGGGAGTTTTTTCCCTCTATATCATAATGTTCCTTGCCTTCTTTCAAGCCCTATTAAAAAGCTCACTTCTCTCTGCTCCCTAGAAATAACCTCTTCACCCTCTTCACCACAATAAATCCCATGCTGTGCTGCCTTTACTCAAGCCAGGTGGTCTCTACTTCCCACCATTCCTTACACCAGGAAATTGAAAATTTAAAATTGTGCTTTTAAGAATTACTGCAACTTCAAGACATAATCCTTTCCCAGTGTGTGACCCCCTCCCTCTGTCCTTACAGAGATGGTGCTAAATTCCTAAAGGCTCTTTACAATAACCTGTTAATTCTGGAGCACTAGACCCTTTCCACCTGCAAATTGCTTTTCTTCCCCCAGTCCAGAAAGCAGCTGTGTTGGTGATAGTGTGTCTCAGGCACATATCCACCTCAAACCCGTGGAGATGGCTTACACTGTAACCTGGCGACAGTGAGAATATACAGCTGAGATCATCCACATCAAAAACAGCCTTTACATATGCCCTACCCTGGCTTGTAACGTGCCTCATTTCTTCAAGCTCCCACACTCTGTCCTTGAGTGTGTCCTGTGTCGCGCTCTGATAAATCCTTCTCATGTCTCTTTTACTGTTGCTTCCTGAAAACTCTCCTGGTCCTAGGGCCTTCCTTGGCTCAGGGAAGGGGCCTGGGAGATACTTCTGGAACTGAACTCAGACTGTCCTCCACAGGATGTCCTAAGCTTAGAAAGTTGACTAAGAGGAGGTGAACATTTTCCAGCAGGAAAAGCTTGGAAGGAAGAGGAGTTTTCTACCAAACATGATTTAAGTAGAACATTATCTTTCATTACACCAAATACCTGGATGTGGACCCTCGCCTCACCTAACATGAGCACCAAGCAAGGACACAGTGTCCACGAAGAGGGAGATGCTGCCTGTGTGTCACGCGGTCCTTCATGTCTTTGGCTTCCCTGGCCTGAATCTCCACCTTACACCTACGTGAGTCCCATGCTGTTGTCACTGCCTTGGCGATTTGGTAGGGGGACCTGTGTTGGTCTCTGTACAGCCAAACACAGGTTTACTGTGAACGTGGAAGCATCTCCTTCCGAGTTGCAGCTGCTTCCATGTCCATCACATAGGAGGAGGCGCTGGCAGGGAGGAGGCCTTGGGCAGGGCTGTAGCCCTCTGTGTGACTCAGTTCCCTGCCTGAGAGATGGAGACACTGCATGCCCTTGCCATAGAATGACTAAGAGAACCAAACGCAAGACTTCCACTGAGACCCAGCACAGAGCGGTCACTCTGATTTTGCTCCTGAATCTGGCTTTAGAGAGAGGGCATGAGGAGTCCCAGGAAGAATGAGAATCTTTGTAGCTGCCAAGGGCATCTTGGAGGAAGAGGGAGGGTGACAGGGGATGGATTTGGGTATATCCTTAAGGATCATGGCATGATCACTGTCAAGATCAGCCTCTCTCAGCAAGAGCGACCTCTGAAAGAGTGGCTTCAAGTGCAGGCCAGCAAGCCAGCAGGAGGCCAGCACTGCAGCCACTGTTCATGTTGGGAGCAGCATCCCGAGGCCCTGCAGTTCACAGGGCTCCTTTGCACAGAGCCCTGCTTACTGCGGCTGCTTGCTGGTCTGTCTTTCAGGCGTCACCCCCATCCTGTGCTCCCTGGAAGATGGAGGACAGAGGGTAGAGGGGGACTGTTGGGGTCATCAGGATGCCATCCCCAGGGAACCAGGGGAACCAGCCCAAGAAACCAGGACCTACCACTGTGTTCCTCTTGGGCGTGATTGCTTTGTTTTCTGCTGGGTCCTTTTCACTGAGCTTCATGGTTTACGCTTCAGATGTTGTTTCTGAGGAAGAAAAAAGGAAGCCGCCATTAGACCTTTGCTGCCACCCACAGTAGATCACCAGAGAGGGGGCATTAGGCGAGGACAGCAGGATGACACACAGCTGGGTCCTCGTTGGGACTTTGAGTCCCTGGAGACTTGGACCCATGCTGCTCTGCCCTGGCCTCAGTTTCCCTATGTACTAGATGGGGTTGGGCTATATCTGCCTTTCCTATACTTGCTCAATTGTTCCCTGCTCTGCTGTCATCAGAAGGTCTTGCTCACAGAGGAGCACATTTTGGACCTACTAGACTGTCTGTGTCTAAGAGGTAACAAGCACACCAGCACTGTGAGTGAGGACAAAGTGTCGCTCTCAGCTGTCAAACCAGAAAACCACCAGCAATAGCTTAAGTCATCCGGTGGCAAAAATAGAAATTTCACAGCTTTTCTGGAATTTGGGAATATACTCCAGAACCACAAAAGCATTTATACCCTTTGGCTGAACTAGTCCATCCATAAGAACATATCTAAAACCAAGACTCAAATGTGTACAAAGACTTAAGTCCAAAGTGTCTATAGCAACACTTTCTCATGTTAGAAAAATGACATTTGCAATGGCAAAGAGTACCTGTGTCCCTATCCTGGCTCTGCTGCTGTGATTGAGGGCATCATCAAACCGGAAGTCTGTTTCACTGTCAGTGAAGAAGTCGGTCACCCTTGTCTCATGGCAAGAGTGTGAGGCGAGGGACACTATACACCAGAGGGCCTGAGTGATGCTTGTCCAACCTTTGGTATCTATAATGAATGGCACCTGTCATTCTCTGTGCCATGGAAGCCTCAGTAAAGTAACAGATTTGGGGGTGGGAGGCAGTGAAGAATGTGTTTAGAAGTGTCGAGCCTGAGGTGTTTGTAGGATGCAAGAGTGTAAGTATCACTCGAGCAGCTGGAAATAAAAGTGGCGCTCAAGAAGTGGTCTGGCAAGGTCCTGAGTTCAATTCCTGGTACCAAAAAAAAAAAAAAAAAAAAAAAGTGGTCTGGGCTGGGAAGGAATTAAATGGTGATTAAGGCCATGGGACTAGGAGGGAGAGTGAGTGGAAAGAGAAGGCCCCTAAGGAACCGAGAGAGCCCTGCCTGGGTGGGTTGTGGGACGATGCCGAAGTCCATCAGGGGCTCAGAGGTGGGAGGTGTTGCAGGCATGCAAAGCTGCCACTGGGTGCTGACATTTGAGAACAACTGGGGTGCACTTCCAGCTGTGGTCAGTGTGGCTCCTGCTGGGTTCACCACATCCATCCCAAAATGGCCCGGTCTAGAGGGCAAGATCAGAGCGGGTGAAGCGCTGAAGGACAGAAATGGGTGCAGAGCAGGACAGAAGGCAGCAAGCGGTACCAGCGAGTCACAGCGCGCTAAGCCCGTGATCCCAGTGGGGTGGAGAACATGGGCTGAGCACGGTGGGGTGAGGAGATGGGGGCCTGGGGGGCTGGGCCCCGAAGCCTCGAAGCTCTGTGCAGAGGGATGCCAGTGCTCTCGGCCAAGGACAGCAAGGTGGGGACATTCTTCCCAGGCAACAGGCTGCAAAGGTCGGAATGTTGCTGGCTCCAGGAGGACAGGTAGGGCCGGGTTGTGCTTCTGGCTCATTCACAGCCTACTCTGATCTACACCAGGACCAGCAGGGCAAAGGAAGAGGGTCACTGGGGCAATTATGCCCCACTTCTCAGGGAATCTGTGCCTCTGCTTCAAATGAGGAAGAGCAGGATGGACCCATGGGCCTGCTGGGGGAACTGCTGAGTTCTCTGTGTGATGCTCATGTTAATGACCGCGCCACACAGAGCCCAGCAAACACAGGAGGGTACTGTCTGTTTGCATGGCTTGGTGGTTCCCTAGAGAAGCCTAAACTCTCTCAAAAGGATGCTCTAAGACTTAAATAAAATAATAAGTAAATAAAACAAAACCAAATTCATAAGATAAATAAACACAAGCTCCATGCATGGCAAGGACTCAAAAAATGCCAGTTCTCTGTCTTTCCTACCCCAGCAACAGTATCAGCATTGCAGCTGACCCAGATGAGACTTTGCTCATGCCCCCAAAGTGACAGTGCCGGTTCCTAAAGAGCAATAAGCATTGCACCCAGCCCATGGCTCCCTCCGCCAGGCCTCCCTACCGTGCAGCCCCTATGGGGTTAACAGCCAGTACAGCAGAGGCCCAGCACCTCTGGGCAATCTGATTGGCCCCCAGCCTGGCTGTTCCTGGATTAAATATTTAGAAGATCGCCTTGTTATCTCTGCTGCTGGTGGTGACAAAACCCTGTGTCCAATACGATGCAGGGGCCCAAAGGAGAAACTTTGTCCACACAGACGGCGGGCGGGTCACAGAGGCCAGACCTGCACCCCGATTCCATAGCCTGTGCTCAGTACAAGGGCAAAGGAAAAAAAAGGATGCGGCCAGATCAATCTGCTACTACAGGTCAGCACTTACTGGAAGTGGAATTTTCTTTCTCCCTTGACGGGCCAGCTGAAGGCCACCCTGTAGTTGCTGAGGTGACTGAAGTCACCACCTGTGCTCTGTCACTCTGACATGTGGACACTGAACAAATTTGGGAGTTCCAACAAACTGCTGGTGGGGACTCTGAACAGAGAGCCCCTCAATATACCCCAGGCCCCGAGTTTTCCAGTGCACTGACCCTGGGCCACGACTCTGTGCTTCCTGTTCAGGGTTGTGTGTGTGACATTAGCATTGACTGAAAACTATTTTTAAAACAAGAAACTGAATAGGAGTGTGAAAAACAGGGAAGATTTAAAAAACAGGAGAGAGAGAAGAGGGAGGGGAAAGAAGAGGAGAGGGAGGGAAGGAGAAAGGAAATAAGGGAAGGAAAGGAAAAAAGGAAGAAAGAAGAGGGGAAGAAAGGAAAGAAAGAAAAAAGACAGGGAAAGTAAGGAAGGAAGAGAGAGTGAGACCCCACTGTAGGACACTGGAATAATAACACAGCCAAAACCCTCCAATCAACTTCATTTTGTGTTAGCATCTGTTGGAAACCACATAGGTATTTCCTGCATATTCTCTCTTACCTTCCCCAGAATGCAGTAAAGCTGCATTTTCAAAGCCCCGTCCCAGCTGCTCTGTAAGTCTTGGTCAATGTTCAAATCCTCCCCAAAGCAGATCCAGATCTGCAAAACTCACCTGAGCCCTAGAGCTCCCCTGGTCATTGCGTCTGCACAACCGTATAAACAGACGGCTGTCAACAGAGTCAGTATAAACCCAGGGGTCAGAGGGCAAATAGCATTAATGATTAAATGGCACCCATTTGTTACTATAAATGTCTTTGATACTCAGGGGAAGCGGAACATGATAAAGGTGGCTCACTCCTGGCCAGCTTGGCTTCCTGAAAACATGCCCCGGAGAGTGGCAACACACTCCAGCACTGGGCCCAAGCAGGCTGCAGGAGGCCGAGCTCAAGCTTCTGTCTTATGTTTGACCCAGAGCCACCCATACCTGTGCAGTTGTCATTGCTGTCATTTTGTGATAGGCACGTTTCATCAGTCCCTACGTGATAGGTGAGGTTCATATGCTAACTCTTCTTCCTGTCACACACTGAGATAAATGGAGTGCCAGAGAGACAGAAAGACCTGTGCAAAGAGGAGAAGGGTGCAGGAGCAAAGGGCAGCAAATCAATCAAGGGTCAAAACATCTCCCAACTCATCCTCCAAGAGAGCCAAGGCAGGAGAAGCACAGGGTGTTGCCTGGGGTGTAGCACAGAGAAGGAGGGAAAGTGGGATCCCCTGGATCCCCAGCCACAAGGGAAAGGGAAGACATGCTGGGCTCAGTTATGTGTTCAGACCCTGGAAAGAGGGTACTTTGGGGACCCAGCAGGAGCCCATCCTAGCCCTTTAGCATCAGTGTAGAGCAACCAGGCAATCTCCTCAGGGCAAATCTGTTTCCCTGGTGCCCTGGTGCAGACACAGGTCCCAGAGCAGGAAGAGGCTCTCTAATCCCTGGGAGACTTCTGCAGATGACTGCTTCAGTAGACCTTCAGGGTCTGCCATCACCTGTGCACTAGAAAGAGGACATCTCTGTGTCCAGGGAGGAACTCAGCTGTGCTGAAAAACACACAAACACACCAAGGTCAAGGTCATCTACCGCAAAAGGATTGCTTTACAAGGACTTTCAAAATTCTCCTAAACATCCGGCTGGTGCCCAGCCTCTCCTCTCCTTTCCTCATACTCTTGGCCCCTCTCCTCCTCTTTCTAACTACAACACATGACCCTCTGGATCCAGGATTTCTCAGCCATTGGTTTGGCAGTATCTGTGTAGGTAGTGCATGCTGTGACAAACCGGATCAGATGGCAGACAACTCAGCCTGCTATTCCTGCTGGAGCTGGCCAACCATGCAAAGCCTGAAGTTCTAAAGTGGAAGTCAAAATAAACCTCTCCTTCTTTGAGTGGGGGTGTCAGGTATTGTGTCCTAGTGAGGAGAAAACACTTGCTTCCTGGTGGCTTTTGAAGCCGACTCAATCTGAACTTTCCTGGGCAGCCTCTGGGGCTGATTCAAGGCCTCTGCCCGAATTTATCATTTTGTGAAGAAGAGGTGGCTGGAGGATTAGTGACAGTGAGGATGGCAGGAACTATGTAACCTGAGTTGGCTGGCCAGCTGGGGAGAAAAGCATCTTTGCAATATGCAGGGAGAATGACACGCAGAAGGATCAGTCTGCATAACCCAATTAAGCTAGCATTTGAATTGTTTCTGGAGGCTGTTGCTTCAGTTTTTGATATGGAAACCTCTGTGCCCTGGGGAGTCATAGCCTCTTTGTTTGGAGGCTCCTACCCAGATGACATCCCTACAGCTGAGTGGCTCTGCCATCCCGCTGTGCTCATATCTATTACAGAGAGCACTACACGAACAAATGGGAGACTGTCAGAGTGGCCCCAAAGATTACATATCAGTACTTCAGCTGGCCTTATTTACACTGCTTAGAGCCAATTGAAGAGAGAAGGAAGTACCATAACCAACTCTGTACATATCAGTAGTTGGAAATAAGACTCAATTTAACTAATATCACACCAGGTGTTCTACATTCAAGAAGGGGCACCCCTGTAGTCTTCTACACAATGGTGAGCATTAGGAACACGATGTTAAGGGAAGGAAGCCAGACAGATGTCAAGGGATCAGGCACCACAGAACCCCATTTTTATGAAATGTCCCAGCAGTTCTAGTTTGCAGAAGCAGAACCTAGATTCTTGGTTTCCAGGTTGGAGGTGGTGACTCCAAGGGGCATGAGGTCTTTTGGGGGATGGCGAAGCTGCTCCCAAGTTAGACAGTAGCCAGGGCCGCGTGACTCCAAGGCTGCACTGGAACCCACTGACTCCTCTCCTCCAATGGATCCACTTTAGGGGGTGTAATTCACAGCTCGCAGCTCAGGTGGAATTGGCGATGGCTCTGTGGTCCAGATAACATTATTCCCACACCCATGCCAGGCTGAGAGCTGACGTCAGCCAAGGGGAATCAATTAAATTAACAGCCACTACTGGCTTCTATTTTCAAGAACTGATACTGATTAGCATTTCAGGCAAAGTGGTGGGAAAGGAAGCTGCACCCACACTGTGAAATAACCTGTATTCCAGGGGCACTGCTCACCTCCCAGGGAGAAAACCCACCTCCACCACCTGCCCAGGCAAGTGCTGTCAGCATGCGCTCAGTTACTCCTGGGGTACCAAGCTAACAGAATTCAGAGAGATCTGGTAAGATGCCTGAGGCCACACGACCGGGAATCAGGACGAAGTGTGGCTGCCCTGCCTTCCTTCTTCTCCTGTTTCCAGCTGCCCCAAGATACAGGAGAAATGCTCTCTGCACCCCCGGCAGCACCTGAAGAGCTAGAAGTTCTCCATTTCAGGGAGTTCTGTGGGTAAGAGCTGAGGGGCAGGGTGCACCAGGGCTCCCCCTATACCAACCAACTGGGGAGGAAGGGCATGAACTCTAGGGCCAGCAGCCCGGGGCCCCTGGGTGCGTCCAGACCCTTCTGGAGATTTCTATGCAGCAAGCATCTTGCAGGACCTACAGTGTCTACTATGCAGCATCATCCTTCCAGCAGTGAAACACACTCAAGTTGTGTCACCTTTGCAACTTGGGTGGAAGGGAGCCAAGTCTCCCCTGCAAGCAGCACTTACTGAGTGTCACCCATGCTGGGTGGCATCAGGGACTCTGATTTTCCAGCCAGATACTGTATGCAGGTGAATCAAAGCCTTGGATGTCTCCTCTCCCTAGGTCTCAGTCCCTTTATCCTTGTCCCCAATCTCATATGCTAAGGAAATGCTCAGCAAAGCCGCTGTCTTTGCCCTGGTTTTTGGTGAAGCATCTGCCAGGATGTTTCTAGAAGTGAAAACCAGATTCACTGTTCCAACCATAGAAACTGGAAAAAAGGGACAAAGGAAATGGACTGAGACCTGGGTAAATGAGAAGAATGGGGACACGGGGCTGCCCAGAAGCCTGGGGAGTTTGCAGATGGCTGAATAATTGGAGTAAAAATTGTCAGTGATGTGCCACTTTCCTCTGCCAAAAACTGACTCCTCCATTCATAAATAACCTCAGAGAAAAGGCTGCGCGAATGGGCACTGCCATTTGTAATCATGACGTCCCTCTTACAATGGGCAGCCAGAGTGCTTGGTGGGTAAACCTGTGATTCTGGATCACTCATTAAAGTCAGAAAGGAAACACTAAGAGTCATTCACAGTATTTTCCAGAAAGGTATTTGATTTTGCCCTTCTTCCAAATTTGCGTGGGAAGTTTCTAGTTTTTTCCTAATGATCAAAACTTGTATAGTGAAAATTAAACTTCATTTTGAAATAAAGCTTTCAGTGATTTGCCTTTCAATTCTGCATCTAGTACCTCACACTCTATTTTGCTTTACAGTTTTTTTTTTTTTTTTTTGGAGCCAGGCTGATGATTTTACTTGGCAAGGCATGTCCTTTCTTGGCATATGCTCTGCTAATGTGTAATTTTGAATATTAAAAAATACCAAAACATTGAATAAACCAGAATAAATGGATAAGTTCATGGAAACTTATAATCTAGTGAGACTGAAGCACAAATAAATAAAAAATATAAGCACACTTGAAAGTAACTGGTGAAGAAACTGAAAGTAACTCAATACCTCTCAAAAGCATAAGTCCAGGACTAAATAGATTCCCCAGATAATTCTTTTTTTAAAAAAAATTTCTCTTTTTTTTTCTTTTTATCAGTACCAGGGTCCGAACTCATGACTGCACATTTGCAAGGCAAGCGCTTATGCCACTGAGCTAAATCCCCAGCCCCTTCCCCAGATAATTCTAGCAAGCATTTAAAGAAGAATTAATGCCAGTCCTTTTCAAACTCTTCCAAAAAATCAGAAGAAAAGACACACATACCTATTGTATGAGTTCAGAATTAGCCCAACAAAAATACACAATACCAGACCAGATATAATGAAAGACCACTATCCCTAATGAATAACAGTACCAACATCCTAAACAAAATCCTAGCAAACCAAATGCAATAGCGCATTAAAAGGGTCTCACTTCATGTCCAGGTGGGATTCCATCTCCTGCCCAGACAGTGATAGATAACTCCCAGGAGTGGGATGAGGTCACTGTTACTATGAGGGTCTTGGTGACTCCAGAATGCAGGGTCTCTGTCATATGCCATTTGGTTCACTAGTCTGACCCTACAAAAAACAGGATGCATGTCCCCTGCATGTCCCTCACATCACAGCAGAAAACTTTAGAAATGACCCAGAAGCAGCAGATTGCAACTGCCTGATGCACCATCTCTCCTCGGTGTGCATGGAGCAAATTGACCCAGGCTATGTTCAGTGAAGCTATTGATTGGACAGTGGATATTTCCCTAAATGGATCAGAAGCAGTTTCCACTTGCATGGGACCAAATGTGGACCAAAAACATCTGTGCAGACAGCTCCTCTGAACTCCAGACCTGATGGCTAACTGTGGACCCGCAGTGCCACTTGGATCATCCCAGACTTTTCAGTGTCCCCCAAACTCTTCCCTTCCCTGCCCCAGGAAAGACTTAGATTCTCCATAAATAGCCCCATGGCTTCCTGTTCAGCTGGGATCCTCAGCATCACCCTTGATTCCTGTGCTTCCCTCTTCACCTCGTGCATCTTTCAGGGACTCATTGATTCTGTGTCCAGGCTGCATCTCAGTTCTGTCAGCTCTTATGTGGCCACCCCAGCCCGGGGAGGCCCAGGTCCCATGGTGCTCCTGCCTAAGGGTTTGCTCAGTGGCTTTCCCAGCATTGGGGGGACAGGTGCATCCCGACCACAGCCTCCCTCCATGCCTCAGCTGTCCTTACAGTCACTGCCTGTTGCCACAGTTTCTAGCAGCTGTGGCCGATGTCTCTGCTGCAGCCGAGAATGTGACTATGTGTTGTTCTGCTCGCTGTTGTAACCAGAAGCCAACTCATGCAAGGTGCTCAATAAAAACTTCATGAGAGCACAACCATAGCATGGCTGAACTATTCCTGGAGCCTACCCCGTGCAACCCTTGAATCCAAACGGCGCCAGTCACTGTGCTGGAATAAAGCACTTTGACCTTGTTTCCAAAACACTGATTTGTGTAGTTTACTCAGTTATAGTAAGGGCAGTGCCAGAGGGCAGAAGAAAAAGCGGAGAGCAGAGTGAGATGCCTGCCTCGAGGTGACCTAGGCCCTAGGCTCTGCTCTTTCATCCTGGAACTGGAGCAGCGCTGAGAACAGAGCCCTGGTCACTGGCTTGGAAATGGTGACCTGAGTCCCTATTGGCCAGCTGCCCACGCTGAAGCTCCTGGGAAGACATGGGGGTTGGGGGGCTGGCCCGTGAGCCCCGCAGATCTCTGCTCCCTCCCTTCCTGGTGGCCTTTTATTAAGGATGTGTTTTGCGGGCCCGCCCACATGACTACTCCTCTTCCTTAACAAAAAAAAAAAAAAAAAAAAAAAATTAGGAGTTTGTGTATAAAACAAAATACCTGCTGCCACCTCAGTGCAACTTACCAGGTCAGCTGATAGTCCCACCTGTTGTGTGGCTGGTCCCTCGTGTCCCCTGGAGGAAGGAGCATGCCACCTGTGGGAGTACAATCCGTTCCTTTGCTCTGCCCGGGGTCAGTGGATCATCTGCAGAAGCAGGGTCACAGAGAAAGCAGCCGTTAGAGTCTTATTCTCTTTTATCCAGCGTTTGTTTTTCTGACTGCAATTTTTAAAACTTCGTCAGCAAGCCTATTTTTGTCTCCTGAGAATCAGGTCGAAGAAGAAGAATATGTCCATATTTAAAAGAGTTGCAGAGAGCGAGGTTCATGCAGGAGACTGTATGAAGCAGACAGCCCGTTTTCCCTTCCTGTTTTTATAGAGAAAGAAGGAAACAGGGCCAGCGAATTGGGTTTCTGTGAGGGGAGGCGTGGCCAGAGGCTGCACGGTACACTCCAGCCCTGGGCCTTCTACAGGAAGGAGGCCTGGGCCTTGAGCGCCTTCTGTGTGTGCTTGGCCTCAGCGTTCCTGCTGAGCGGGGTGCTATCCTGAGCCCCAGATGTGAGCAAATGCAGCGTGCCTAATGGGCCAACCTCACAAAGCCAGGACAGAAGGGAGGTGGGATTCAAACTCAGATTTACCTGTTCCAAGCCTGGGCCTCTCCCCTGTGACATCACTTCCTGAAATCAAATATCCTGCGCCCTCATCCTTGCTCTGGTTGCTCAGGCCCTGGGCAAATTTCCATGTCAGTGTGCTGAGCTCACCATGGCCTGGAGTCACAGTCTGCCCTCCTTCTCCCTTGTGTGATTTCGTGGTGAGCAAACTTTAAGGGCAAGAATGTATTAATCACTCTGCAGGTGTGAGCCCCTTGAAGCTGCCCTGGGAGGGGAGCAGTGTGTTTATCCACATTTGCTAATGGGAATCACAGGTGGAACTTGGGGTCGGGATTCCCTGCAAGGTGCCCTTTGGGGCCAGCCCGTTGGACCTCATGTCCAGGCTGCCTGGGCCAAGTCTGCGTTCTTCAAACTGTGGGCCCCCGACTCCAAGAACTGGTGATCTTGGGTATGTCGTGTAACTTCCTGGCCTCTGTTCCTTCTCTGTGAGAGCAGATGACACACGAGCCCACCAGCCTCCCAGGGTCCAGTGACACAGAGGTGCAAAGGCTGTCCCAGCATCTTCCTAAGTCATCTTGCTGCCTCTATAACTGGCATGTCAAAACAGAACTTGAGAAGTTAGTTTTTTTCTTTTAGAGATAAGCAATTTCTAAAAACTTACTTCTGCCAAATATGTCACCAATACCTGCTCCTCTCCTCAGTCATAAAGTGGTGACAGAACATGCAGGTGGTGACCCTGAGAGGCCAGAACCCCATTTCCTTTCCACAGGAAAAGGGAGATCGAGCAGAGATGGTCTACAGTGATAAAGCATGTGTGGAGCTCGATACCAGCCTCCCTGTTCTCCTCTTGCTGTTCTTTGCTGTGAAAGACCCTTGCCAACCTGCTCATGGGGAGACGGGGATTTGGACTCCTCAGCGCTGGCTTTAAATAAATCTTTTGTCCTTTTTTTTTTTTTTTTACCAAAAAACAAAACAAAACCAAAAAAGGCCTCCCTCCTTTGATGTTGGTCAGCTGCCTGCAAAAGGACCTGAGTTTATGAAGCCAAGTAGCCTGCAAGCCTGGTAATCTTGGCATCCTGCTCCTCAGTTCCATACTATGAAAACCCTCTAGAATGTGCATCTTGTCCCTCTGATCATGTGTAACATCCCAGAGCTCCCACTGGCTCCAAAGTCTCCAGCACACAAGCCTCAGTCCTCAGCCTGCACTCTGATGCCTCACAGCCTGGCTGTGCCCTCCTTTTGTACCTTTAGTTGGTGGCCCAGTCCACCCCGTCCCCTTCCCTCCAGCTCCACAAGCTTGGCTCCCCTCTGCCCAATGGTTCTCTTCTTGAAACCTGCTCCCCAGCTTGCTGTTTTCTCCTTCAGCTCTAAGTTCAGATGTCACCTCCCCACAGAGACCCCTTTGGACTCCAGTGTCTCTGCAGAAGTCGTCCAGACCATGAGCTTCACTGCTTTATTTTAAATCTCTCCATGGGATTCACAATCCAAGAGTGTCTTATCTTTTGTGAATCTGATGTTACTGTGTCCTAGTGAGGTAGGACAGAAGAAATAAAAGAAGGTAGAAAGAGACAAGGAAAGCATAACAAAAAAAAAAACTGTACATTTATGAAAAAGACTGTAACTTCCAGGACCCGGTCAAAGTTACCCAAGGTGATCCACATCAGCATTACTTTGGTTCATTTCTGGTTTCTTCCCTGCGAGACCCATCAAACTCAAAATTCCTCAGGAATACTGGAAGCTCATATATTGTCTTAATTGAGAAAGTAAAGAAACCTGACCCTAAGATAAAGGAACAGATTGGGAGAATTCAGAGAATATTTAAATAACTCTTAGAACAAAACAAAACAAATAAACAAAAAACCCACACTGGACCCAGGAGTAGAATGGGCTGGTACCTTTTTGGGGAGCTATTTTTCTATTCCCTCAAGAGAAGTATAAATGTTCCTTGCTCCAGGAAATAAGTCTCATTTCTGAACACCTACAGATAACTCTTGGGTCCTAAAGTCTCCGCCTAATAAAGCCTTCCCATGTTTCTTGTTGATGCATCCTCAAAATTCTTTTTGTGAAAGGCAGTCAATGAACATGGAAGCTCCTTATTTCAGCTGCAGGGACCATCTCGGCCGTAGCCTGGTGGCACTGGGACGTCAGCCTGTCTCATTCACTGCTACATCCTCAGCATGAAGAAAGGCTTGGAACACACCAGACAGTGGATAGGCTCCTGAGACTGAATGGCACTGGACCACCACCGACCAGTCAGTGTGATGCTCCTTGCTTGGTTGGCATCTTCAGTCCTTAAAGACAAAGGCTGGTAACCATTGATGATTACCTTGTATTATGTTTTTATATTATCTATTATGTCCACCCTTCTGACTTGACCGATTCTGTCCTGTTATGACTCATTTGGTTTTACTCTCTTCCAAAAAAGCAATAAGAACCGTGGGAGCAATGAAACCCAAAATGTGTAATAGTCATTGTACAAAAGAGAGGAAAAGAAAGTGCTCTAAACTATATAACTGCATGTATATTTAAGTGCATAAGATAGAAAATGATATCACAGAGTTTTATTGGATCATTGAACAGAACTGTTTGCAGTATCATTGTTGGAATGTCCACTCTACAAGCTTTAATTTTGTGACTTGAACAATTATTTTTAAGATGGCAATATGTAATCCATTAACTAGTGATTTCCTACTGTTCATTTTTTTCTTCTGTAAATCTGTATAACTTGTACCCTTTCACTTCTTTTTTCTTTTCTCCTTAAATAAAAAAAAAAAAGACAAAGGCTGGACATGGTACATTCTGCATCAGACAGTGATTCTGTTTCTTGCCGAGATGCTGTGTTTTGCAGAGATTTTTGATGAATGACAGCAGGCTGTGATGCTCGCTGTGTGACCTCGAGCCAGTAACTCAACTTCTTTTTGCCTCTGTCCTACAATGACAGCAATGTAGCACCTGCTTCATCAGGCTGGTGTGAGAGCTCCATGGCTTGGGACACAGAAAGGTGAGAGAGCAGAGTGTGATGCATCCAAGAGGACTTTAAGTGATGGCTATGGGTTGGGGCAATACTGCTTCTACCATTTAAGAAAGAATGAAAAAGAGGCTCAAAGAGTTGGAATAACCTGTTCTGACCACAGTGCCAATGACAGCCAAGTCAGGATGACTTCTTCCAGTCCACAGCTTCCACCACTTCTGTGATCACGCCTTGGGGAGATGAGGGCCACGTCTCTTCATCCAACTTTTCTTTAACCTGAGGTCAGAGACAGCCAGGACTCTGTCTGTTACCCAGGACAGCAATCAAGCATCCTTCGAGGAGTGCATTGATGGGTTCATCCCAGCACCTCCCCTACCACCTGTCCACCAGCCGTAGGCATTGATGTTGGGGGCCAGCAACAGCTGAGACTAAGTCACACAACCTGATCTCATTCTGCTTCTCTGCCAGCTAATCTGTGTGTAGTCCTGTGCGCTCTGCCACTAAACCTGTCCCAAGCTGCATGAGACCCTTCCCTGCAGCCAGCTGGATTCAGTTGTTGTCCTGTCTGTATCAGGGCACATCTCCCAACAGCTCCTGTCTCCATCCTCTCTCTCCTACTATCAGGTCACCCTCAGGAGCAGCTGACCATTTTAAATGTCCTTTGCAACATGTGGCTGCCCTTCTGCAAACCCTACAGTGGTCCCCCATTGTCTTCCACACCAAAACCCAAGTCACTCCTCAGACCACGGTGTGGACCCTGAGGCCTGTGGCAAGATACTGGCTTGGCAGGATTGGAATGAAGCTGGGAGGTGTTTGTGTGTGTGTGTGTGTGTGTGTGTGTGTGTGTGTGTGTATGATACATAAGTGAAACTTACAAGATGTAGTTTTTTGTGTTTTTTTCTTGTACAGTAGGCAAGTGCTCACCACTGCAGCTCTTCAGCTCCAAGCATGTCACACAGATGGGCATCTGTGGGGATGCCCATGGGAATAACCACCACCAGAACAAGATGTGGAGCATGCCTGATACCTCAGGAGACTTCCCCATCCTTCTTGAGGGATGACAGTCCCACCCCTCATGCCACATTAGTTCAGCCCGCCCTTGCACTTCCAGTGTGTGGCATCTGCCTGGATTCTCCACTTGGCACCACGTGGATTCCATGCGCCCCATGCTGCCTGTCTTCACAGTTTGCCTCCTTTTATCACTTGGTGTGGGGAAACCATATTGTTCCCTCTGTCCTCGCTGGTGGGTATCTGGGTTGATGTCAGGTTGGGGCACTTTTGAACAGCGCTACTGGAATATCCTTAACTTCATCTTTGGATGCCCAAGGATGCTCCATTCTGTTGTGCATACCCAGGAGTGGGGGTGGAGGGTGCGGGGTGGGTTGCTGTGTCACTGCGGCTGTGGATGCTTCGTGGTTGTGGCTGCCACCAAACCTGCAAATCGGTGCTTTGCAAGGGATTTCAGATGCGGGCAAGACCACACTGTGAGAAATGCTCCTGGGCCCAGAGCCTCGGAGGATGGGCAGACACATTCCTCTTGGTCTTCTTTCCTGGGCTTGAGGTTCCAGCAATGCGATGTGCGGCGGAGGAGAATTGGGAGCTCTCACAGTCCACCTGTGAGCACCTCTTTCGGACACACCCCTCTCACTTACCGCTCCTGACTAAGATAAAGGAGCTGAGAACAGGGAAGCATGGACAGTTTGGAGAGGGGAGAAGCCAGGCCCCCGAACCCACACACCAAGGTGTACCTCTAACTCTAACGGACAGCTAGAATGACGCTCAGTATTAGGAGAATGGAAGCTGCTGAA